TGTTTTTGAGGCTTGTTTATGTGTCTTCTCATTTCCACGGGGGGGGGGTGCTTCTGGTGCCCATGCGGCTCACCTTCTGTGCCCTAGGAGCTTGGGATGGCAGCCAGGGGGCTTTCTTCTGGCTGCTGGGACTGGGTCACCTTCTTGGCCCTAGGAGCCTGGGATGGTAGCAGGGGAACTTCCTTCCAGGTGCTGGGACCGGCCGAGCTTCACTGCCCTAGGAGCCTGGGATGGAGGTGGGTAGCTTCCTTCCGGGTGCTGGGACCGGCTCCCAAGTATACATTTTAAAAGTAAGTGTAGAATAATATCTAGATGGAATGTAAGCATTCCTGTAACATTGCCCACCTTTGTTCCAAACTTTGGAAAAGTCTCAATACAGAAGAGCTAAGAGGACTCAAATTCTCAAACTTTTCTCCAAATTCAGCAGGGTTTGTGTGTGTGTGTGTGTGTGTGTGTGTGTGTGTGTGTGTGTATAATATTGCATACTTTCTATAAGTATAGCCAATGCTAAAGTGTAACCTACACACCGGCAAGGCATATAATCACCTATGTTGGACACAATGAAGTATAAATTTAATTATTTAATGAGGTATTTTTATTTTGAAGTTAGTTGTGGTTACTTATATTCAACTTTCATTATATACCTTTGGAATTAAATATACAAATATATATATAATTATATGTAATTCCTTCATATGCAAAGTCTGTTTTTTAAAAAAGTGAAAATATATTTTTTGTAGTTAAAAAAAAATAAAAGTTGGGCCATGGATTTAGCTCAGTGGTTCTGGCGCCTGCCTCACAAGCACAAGGTCCTGAGTTCAATCCCTGGTACCAAAAAACAAAAAACTAAGGGAACTTGAGCATTTTCCTTAAGCCTCCCTGAGCTTTCTTGGCCTCACCTGTGAAGTGGGTAGAAAAATACTTTCATGTGGGAGAAGTAGAAACAAGGTGAAGGAGTAAAGGTGATTAGGGGTTATTCCTTCGGCTGTGATAAGTCACTCCAAATCTGAACTTGGTAAATCACTGTTTAAAATAAGTAACCAGAACGCTCCTTAACTATTGTTCCAATCCAGACATTCATATGTTGAAATTCTAACTCTCAAGGGAATGGCAACCGGAGGCAGAGCCTGCAGCAGGTGATTAAGATGAGGGTAGAGTTCTAAGGAATGGATTAAATGACCTTATGAAAGAGACACTGGAGAGTTTCTTTTGCCACACTGGGAAACAGTGAAAAGATGATTGATCATCCATGAACTAGGAAGTGAGCCTCACTAGAAGCCAAACTTACTGGTGCCTTGATGTTAGACTTCCTAGCTTATGGTTGACAAGCTACACATTTTATGATGTTTTGTTGTATCAGGCAAAACCAAGACAAAAAATTGGTACTAAGACATGGGAGTAATGTAGTAAAAACCTAAAAATGTAGAAGTAGCTTTGGATCTGTGTACTGGGTAGAGGCTTGGAGCATTTTGAGGTGCATGGTAGAAAAAGCCTAAATTGCCAGGACCAGCCCTTTAAAGGCAATTCTGGTGAAACCTCAGAAAAAAAAAAGTTATGTGATTGAGAAAGCTTCAGTTTTCTTAGAAAAAAACCTAAGAAGTCATAAACAGAATATTTGTAGAAATATGGATGGTAAGGTCCAGTCTGCTGAGGCTCAGATGGAAAGGAGGAGCACGTTATTAGACAATGGAGGAAAGACTCTCTCATATAGAGTGCCAAACAATTTAGCTGAGCTGTGTTCACATCCTAGTGATTTATGTTGTGCTTTGCAGAAGGTACAACTGTTTATAAGGGGCCCAACATTTAGTCATAGATGTGATCTGGGAGAGGGATTCTGGTGCACTGTGGTGGAGAACTGAGCTTCCTACTCATGCAGCTTACTTGTACCCTTTGGTCTTGCTTCTAGGTATAGATATTAAGCAGCACCAACCAACTTTGTCCCTTGTGATACCATGTGGTATTCATTTTCTCCACAATTCACTCGAATTAGATATCCTTGGCTATCCTTCTGTCCTTGCTGGTCATTATGAAAACTGTGGCCCCCTGGCTATTAGTTACTAAGCACTACTTCTTGGCTGTATCATTTCACTTCCCCATTTTGAATTCAGCTTTGTGATCCCCTTCTTTTACCATCATCCCTGGCCTGCAGAGGTGGGTACCACTGACCTTTTGAGTGTTGATGGTGCCTCTCATCAGCACATTTCTGATGGTCATGGTGAATCTTGTTGCAAGACTTCTGGTTTGATATAATAAATCTTGTATGGGTAAGCTTTTTTGCTGGTAGAACAACATAACTGACACAACCTAAAGGAGGAGAGGTTTAATTTGGTTTATGGTTTCAGAGAATTCAGTCCATTGTTAACTGGCTCTAAGGCAAAAACATTATGGTGGAGGAGGTTGGCAAAGGAAAGTTGCTTACCTCATGGTCACCAGGAAGCAGAGCAGGGAAATAGTGTCAGAGAGAATGGGGGGGCCAGGAACAAGATATAGTCCCTAGGGTCACAGCCTCATGACCCACTCACACACACTCAAAAGTGCATTTTACCAATAAAGTTGTTATTTAAGCCAATTAGGTTGACAATCAGGTTTAAATATCGCTTTGCCACTGCAGCATCCCACTTCCTACAACCTCTTTATTCCTTCCTCTAATATGTGCAGGGCAACTCAGGCATTTCTGCTTTGCCTAGCATAAGACTAATAAAGAGCCTTCCTTGCTAAAAGTTTGTCCCATCTCCTTGGGTACTTGCCAGGGCAGTAAATCCCATGACCTGAGAAATTGTTACAAATTATTGAATTTTTGCTTATCCAGTTTTATGTTCTGACACCCTTGACCAAGTACTCTCAAAATCCAGTTCCAGAGCCATTCCTTCAACTAATGTATATACTTTGGCTAATTTTTGCAGCTCCTTTGACAGAAATCTCTTTAATTCCTTCTCAGCTACAGCATATCCCCAGCTATGGGGCTTTAACCCTAGTTATTAACCCAACAACCAGGAATGAAGGCAGGTTTTTCTCCTGCAGAGAGAAGCTACTGCTTTATGTGAAAGACCTTTGAAGAATCTTTCTTCTTAGAATGATAGCTCTTTATCTGGAGATGTGAGCCACCTCTCTAAGCTCTGAGATTTTAGGGGACTCTACAGAGTCAAAATTCAGAGACTCACCTACCTAGATGTACCCATATCAGGTTTCAGAGTTCCAGATTTTCCCAACCTCAGCTCTCACCTGAGCAAACAGGATTGCTTTGAGTATTTAAATATCTCTGGATTTCAGCAACCTCAACTGCCAGATTTTGATTTTGCTCCTCAGCTGTAACTATTCTCTCTATAGGATATAAGCTTTTCTTTGTAAACTACCAGTTAAACTCTCACACCCAGCCTTTAACTGTTAAAGGATCTTGGTTTCTCATTATCCCTCTGTGGTGCTTCAATATAACTTAGCAATAACTGGCCAACTCCATTTCAGGTTTTATTAGTCCTGATGACTTAAGTCATCTCACTGAGAAGAACATTCCTTTAGAGGTTACCTTCCCAACACCACTTCAAACCACCTCTCCAACCTCATCTCCTGTCACCCACCTTATCCCACAAGCACTTTAGGCTCATTGTTCTCCAAGCATTTTTGTTTGTTTGTTTGTTTGTTTTGTTTTGTTTTTGGTACCGGGGATTGAACTCAGGTCCTTGCACTTCTGAGGCAGGTGACGGAACGACTAAGCTAAATCCCAGCCCCTCCAAGCATTTTTTACAACACCCAGCCTACATGTCTTGGCCTGTGGTACTCCTCTGTCTACAGTTTTTCACTTCCTGTGGCCCACTGTGGAAGAATCACCTCAGAGGTCCTTTCCTGGAAGACTCATAGAATGGATTTGCAGTCCTGGGGTCATGTAATCTGGGTTTGTAATCCTAGTTTTACCAATACTGTTATAAGAATCCAGCAGCATTTGGGGGGATGTCAACCCTTCTGTTAGTTATCAATCTGCAGACAGAATGAGTCTTCTGATTAGCCCTTGAGTGCATATCTGGGCTATGGCAAAGGTGTAGTTAACCTGGATTGGGTACAAATGGGGAAAAACTGGGGTTTGGGCCTTTTAAAATGTATTCATGGTCTTCTAAAGGCCAAACTACCTCTGCAGGTCGTAGAAAGCCTCGATGAATGAGAAGAGTGAGGTTGTGATTGCTGAAGTGGTGAGATATGAAGCAAATGAGCTAGTTAAGACTTTTGGAGCCAGAATAGATCTAGGTTCAAATCCTAACTCTGCTACTCAGCTGAGTGTCTGAGTAATTTGGTAATGCTCTTTGGGCCTCAGTTTCCTCACAGGAAACACAGAAACAGTAAACCTAGGGTCTTATTTACTTTTCTCATTGCTGAGACAATATACCTGACACCCACAAATTAAGGGAGAGAAGGTTTATTTGGCTCACAGTTTGTAGAGGTTTCAGTCTGTAGTTTGCTGGCTCCAAGGCAGAGTAGCACATGGCAGAGGGGCAACAGTTCATGGCAGACAGAAGGTAGTTAGGCAACAAGGGACCTCAACAGCATCTTTCTGCCCCTTTTATCTTATCCAGACTACTTAGGGTGGGTAGCACTTACACCCTTAGTCCTAGTGCCCTTGGGTCTGGCATTGCACCATGAATCTATTCCAGCATCACACACTCTAGATTCAGCCACCTCTGAAAAAGCCCCACCTATGACTGCATGAGGCTTTGGGGGGGACATCTAGACACAAACTATAACATCTAGCTCACAGCATGGTAGTGAAAATGGGGCACAAGTGCATAGAGCAAATCAGGTTCTCTGGATGAAATGTAGAATGCCATCGAATAGTCCACATTCCTGTGACAGCCAGTGGTCTCTCTTTGGAATAGAGGACCTGCCATAGATGGTGAAAGGGATCTCTGAGTGGGTTCCAAGCCAAATGAGCCCAGCTGACCTCTCTTGCCTCTAAAGTTCTTTGCTTTTTGTTCTTTTTTTTGACTCTTTTTCTCCCTCCATATATTCGGTGCTCCATTTCTGCCTAGGTTACTGAGTGCAGTTCTCCCTGGCTTGTGCCCAAAACTTTGAATCTCATTTATTCCTTCATGTCATCAACACTTTTCTGTTCTGCCTCTCTTTGATTAGGGCCTTGCTAGGAATCCACCTAATTAATCTGGCAAAGCAATTAAGGGCAGGCATTAGTGGCTAATAATGCTGCATTCCTCCTAGGGAATCTTCTGTACTTTAATAGGAGTCTCCTTAACATAATGGAAAGGACTAACTAATGGGCTAATTTCAGGACCCTTGCAAGGTCAACATTACTAGGACAACAACCTACATGAACCCCAAGTGGAGGGTGAAACAGGATAGTGAATGCTAGACCTCGGACGAGACTCGCTACTGCTCCTTAAATCCAGTTCACTTTGCTTGGGGAACTGAACTGTTTCTAGGGGCACACCAACTTGGACTGTGCAGGGGAGAGGGTCTGGACTTGTGTGCTGCTGAGCTACTGCCTTGATTCAGGCCTCAGTTTCTCTTGTCTGGACTAGAGCAAAAGCATCTTCTGTGTTCTCCCTGCCTCCTCCAATAGGTCTCTTTCTAATCTTTTTTCCATACCCCTGCTGGGGACCTTTAGAAGATACTATTCTAAGGCAGTCATACTGCTACGTACAATAATTGTCTCCCTGTTACCTTCATGGTACAGTATGCAATCCTCAGCCTGACCCACAAGCCACTCCCACCTGGTCTCTGCTTCCTTCTCCAAGCTTATCTTCTGCCACCCCTGTCGCACACCCACACTCCAGACTGATCAGGTGACTCCCTGTTCCCCGAAGTCCTCCCCTAGCACTCTCAGTTCCAACACTGGGTTGTCTTCCTCATCATCCCACCCCCATTCTGCCGCCTCCTCATCCCTCCTCCTGGTGATTGCCTCTTGACTCCTGTTCATTTTCCAGCACTCATCTGTTGTTCTATCCTGGTGACATTCTCACTATCTTCCCTCTCACTTTACTCTTACATTTTCTTTTTTGTTTTTGTCTTACTTTTCTCTTGTTGCTGGGACAAAATACCTGGCACCCAAAGCTAAAGGGGGAAAGGTTTATTTAGCTCAGTTTGTAGAGATTTCAGTCCATAGTTGGCTGGCCCCAAGGCAGAGGGCCACATCGCAGGCAGAAGACAGCAGAAGCAAGCAAGTAAATTTAACAGCCTTTCTGACCCTTTTATCCTATCCAGACTACCTCAGGTGGTGTTGCAGTCAGATTTTGCAAGGGAATAGATTTAATACATACCACATAATTTATAGGATTATTTTATCATATTCACCCAAAAAGTCAAATGCAGAGGAGTGCAAGAGATCTGTCCACACACTAGAGACCCAAAGAATCCAGCTGAGGGCCTGGATGCCATGGCAATGTCCTGCACAAGTCCAACTAATGGGCTAAAGCCCAAGGCAATGTCCTCCACAAGTCCAGCCAGAGGCCTAGAGCCCATAGCAATGTTTCATACAAGTCTGTATAGAGGATCTTCCCCGGGAAGGCCCAAGGGCCAGTGGTAGAAGCCAGGAAGCCTGCACCACTGGGGTGAAGGATTTGTGCCACCAGATTTAGGGATCTGCACTCAAGCCTGGAAGTGATGCTCCAGGTGAAGATCAGAGGTCCGCTGACAAGAACAGCAGCCATTCCCAATGACAGCAAGGACTCGAGCTCCTCCTCTGATGAGAACAGCCAAGTTTGCACTAGGGAAACCAGCTGTGGCAAGATTCTCCAAGAAAATCGACAGCCAAGGATCTTCCTTTCTAGTTTTCTTTTTATGCCTAATCCTAGTGTCTTGAGCCTAGCATTGCACCATGAATCAATTATGCATTCTAGATTCAGCCACCTCTAAAAAAGCCCCATCTAAGACTTCATGAGGCTTTGGAGGACATCTAGACACAAACCATAACAGTTTTATTAAAGATATCTCTGTTATAATATTTCTGCTTAAAAATATGATTTATCCCACATTAGGTGAAAATTGAGTCTTTGGAGCATGGCCCATTTGTTTGAATCCTCAGCTTCAGAGATTCATGATAATAATAACTGTGTTCTGACTGAAATGAATATGGTTGTGAATGAACATATGAATGTCTAGAATTTAATTTATATTTTGTTTCTAATATATAGTATTGGGCAATTTATTTAATTGCTTAGTACTTTCATTTCCTATTTTGTCAAATGGGAATAAAATACCTACATATGAGCATAGAAATGAGATTTTATGGACATGAGGTGTCCAGAATAGGCTGCCTTTGCCCACCTTTGTGACTATCTGACTTGAGTTACAGAATCTTTTAAGAT